AGATGTAGATTCTCCATTTGACCACATATATGCAGAATTAGTAATCCAAGGAAGTTGTCGACTGCTGTGTAAGAGAGACCAGATGTGGTCAGCGCGACCATTTGCACCAGATACGTTAACTCATATTTCGGACTGTTGGATGTATCGTGCAGATAGTAGACTTGAATTGCCAAAGGCCTTCCAGGATCGGTAAGATTTGTCACGTATCTAAGTGTTCGTCCGGAAAACATAGAGCTGAGAGTGATCAGAAGTGTAAGAAGTATCATGAATAATCCGCACATGGCGAGAAAACGAGTAATTTTAGCTTGCTTTAACATGACACTTTTCTCTTCTTTCATTTTTATTTTTGTCCAGTCTTTCACAATCATTTTAATTAATGGCGATAAAGCTATAAAGAAAAATAATGTGTCTGCACTTAATATACATACGTTAAATTATTATTTTCTTATAATATTATTTTACTATTGCATTTCAACCTATTTCAATCAATTAAATAATGCAATTATGAAGTTAAGTTTCGATATTTAAGAAAAGTTTTCAAAAAATATAGAAATAAATCTTAAAGGCTCAAGCAAATAATTTGTTGAATAATAATACCTTCTTTGTTGTACCACATAATGAAGACTTTTAGCGTCGTTATCAAAAGTGGCAAAGTATATTGTAAATTATCTATCACTAGTATCATGTCACCCCACACCCTTATCAGCGACACTAAAGCCGGTATTGTCAATATAAAAATCAACGTGATGACATTGAAGAACAATCGAAATTTAGACGATAACTCTTCACGTTGATTTTTACTTCCTTGCGGCCATAAACCCACAATTTTCAGCATAAAACGATTTAGACCGATCGCCCATTCTACATCTATAATTTAAGCGATAATTAATTAATCAAATGAACATTGAAATCTTTTTTTAAACATCACTTTACGTTGTAAAATTTTACACATTTTTTTAGATTTTAGGTATAATAATATTATCAGAATATTTTATATAGATTTTATATAGTGTTGTTTATTATAAAATGTAAAACATCTTTACTTATCTTTTTATAATTTTATATTAAAATGTTAAAATGTTAAAATGTTAAAATGTTAAAATATAAAAAAACTTTATGACAATTTATGAACATTAAAAAAATATACATTTATAGTGCATCACAAAAATTTTACTTTTTTAAATTCTAAATAGATAAGGTTGATAAAAGTCACACACGTATTTTATATCACTCTTATGTAAAAGATCACGCACACTTAATTATTTATTAAAAATAGAATAACGAAATGGAAATATTAAAGCGCAGAGTCCAATAGAATATTTTATATGCTGCAAGAACAATGTATTTATATTATAATTATTATGGCACAGATGCAATAAACTAATTTAAAAACAAAATACATGAATTTTTATAATGTTGTAATAAGAAAAATAAATATGACTTGGCGTCAAAATTTATAACTTTCCATTGTGCGTTCCATGTTTTAACATATTCTTCTTTCTATTAATAAATTTTTATTAAAACAATAATTTTTTTGCAAAATAACAAAGTATTTTTTTATATTAGATGTATTTTTGATTAAAGTTAATTGGTAAGATAAAAAAACACCATTATTTTCAGCTGAGTTATCCATAGTATTCGCCAGAGGATTACTGATCTCTCCTTCGTAAGTGATATCACTATTTTCTAAACATTGTCGCGCATGTCTTTAAACGAATTTTTGAAACGAGAAGATACATTGCACTCTTATAAATATGACAATGAGAAAGAACATATGTTCACGTGTTCGTTCGCGAAAGAGTTTAATGAATAAGTTATAATAGCAAGTGAAGTATATGAAGATGAACATTTAAAGTTGCTCGAGTGAATTATACTTTTTAATATCCGTTCGTACTTTTTTTTTGTTACCAAAAACTCCATTGTTAAAAAGTTGCAATCGCGAAAAAAACATTTCTTACGCTCATAGTAATGAAACGAGAAACGCGTTTAAGTTCTGGCTGTTTAAAGTTTTAGAAGACGCATGAAAATCGTCACAGCTTGTCGACACTTTTTACGTTGCTGAAAAGTTACGTTCATGAAAAAAAAAAGAATCGCCAGTTGTTGGACATTTCAACGATGCATTATTAATGAATCTGTAGCTGCAATATCGTGTCAAATCCGATAGTAGAGACATAGCCGCATAACAAAGAGGGCAGGAAGAAATAAAGACAATTTATCAATTGTATTAATTCAAGTTAGGACTAAAAGAGATATGCATTTATATTAAAATAATTCTAAAATTAAATGCTTAGAATAAAAAAAAACTTTATTAAAACTATTCACACACACACACACACACACACACACACACACACACACACACACACACACACACACACAAAATTGTTGTTTGTATATGTGTACGACATGTAAGATGGAAATAACGAATCGTATCTCTGTCAAAAATATTAAATTAATCAAATTGACATTGTTTTTATTTAAGAAGTTGAAAAAGCTGGTTGATATATACATAAGAGAACGCGTGTTACAGAATCTTTTATATTATAATCAGCATGTATCCCCCGAATCGGCTATTCCGGAAAGATGGTCCTTTATCCAGCCATATTTGTCATTGAAGGACAATTTGTATAGAGTGGCTGTAGTGAGCATCTTTCTGATGCAAATTATTTTAATAATATTTTACATGATCTGTTTAGAGATGGTGAGGTGGCGAACTAATGAAGTGGATAGAATGGACAGAGAGAAGACATCAGATTACAACATCATTAGAAACGGTGAGTATTGACGTTTGGGTGAAGAGGGGCTGCCCGCGGCTTCTCTTCTTACTTCTTTGGTGTCTGGTGGCTGATAAAAGTTAGTAAAGAAGCTTAACAAGGGGATTCTATACAATAAGATCTGTTGATAACTTGGCAATTCTTATTAGAAGTTTCTTTCTAGAAACTTTTTAGAGTTTACGCAAGGAATCTTAGAAATGATTGAAGAATGGTGTCGAGAGACCATCATTTATCAGTAAATTCGCTGAAGACGGATCTCATAATTTTCATTAGCAAGTACAAAAAATCTTTGTAAAGGATCTCGTCTTTGAAGGAGTTAGATTAGTATTTGGTAAGTCGGTAAAGTATCTTAAAATAGTAATTCTCACAATTAAATTCATTCTCGATAGGAATTTGAGCTAAGAATAACCTGGATCAGCAAGAAGACTTGCATTTTTGTGCGTAGGAAGACCTCTGAATAGTGAAATTTATGACTGAGGAGAATTCATTGATTATATAGCAATGCTTCAAATCTACTCCTGCGATGATCTGGTGCCCCAGAACACTAAAGTCTACGGCCAGAACATCACTGGAACAAGTCAGAGTGTTTATTATATAAGTCTAGAGGTAAGAATGCTAGTAACGACGATGACACTATTTTTTGACACTGAACCGTTTTACTTATCCACTTGCCTATCTATATAAGATATAAGAATAAATAGAAGAAGGGTACTGTACACATGTGACTATCAAAAAAGTCCTATCGGGGACCATGTTGCTGTTAAAAGATATGAAATTGGAAGAAGAGAATAAACAAGAAAAATAATAAATTTTGGACAATAAATTATAGATATTTAAAAACAGGAGGATAAAATAGAAAAATAATTATTGATATAAAAAAAGAATATATACTTATATAAATATTATTATATAACATTGTTATCAATCTTTTTCATTTATCTTATTAGCTTTTTATTTATACGATTAATAGTGTGTATAAAAATTGACATATATATATATATATATGATAATGTAATTAAAATATAATTTTAGAGAGATTTGATATAGTAAAAAAAAGTATCATACTTTCACATATCTTTTGATAAAGCATAATATGTTTTAAATAACATATTCTTAATTTTATCTCGAAATAATATTTATTAAATCAGTGATTACGTGCTAATTTATATGCTAATTTTGATGTCATTAATTTCGTTTGACAAGTAATACGTATAGCCGGTGACATTTATCTCTCCCAATAATAATTTCGTATAGGGGGAGAAAACGGGAATATAATCGATTTTCAGATTTGATCATCGATTTAAGAATATAGTTTTGAAGTGGAAGTCTGTTAAATAATGTTATATAGTTCGCGATATTAAGGAATTGTTCCGAGTTTATAGATATAAATTTAGTTAAGAAAAATAGAATATTATAAGACACCTAAGATCCATCTAATATTCCATTGTTTGAGGATTTCCACTTAAATTGAAGATAAATTGATTAACCTTCATATGATTTTCAAACGATTAGTAAAAATCAAATTAATAATACCATTTTATGTCCCTCTCAAAGTCCTGTATGAAACATATTTCTTTAAAATGTTTCCAAGATATAAATTTGTAACACTTTAATTGACTTGTCCTGTATATAATAAACATGATCATTAAAATTAAAAAACATGATCAATTAAAATATATTCGAAAAACATTTGATGATTATTGAATAATTTTAAAAGCACTGTAAGTTATGCGATTAGATAATTTACACTAGTTATTATTAAAAAGTTATTGTGCTATTCATCTACTTACTTGACTCACAAGAAATTCGCCGACTACACAATAAAGACACGTATGTAATAAAACACATAGAGTTGCAGAGAGGTACCAAAATAGTTGTACAAATGATAATTGTCCTCTTCGAATAACCTGAATAATTAGATACATTACATTTAAAAATGTATTCCTTATGATTTCAAAAATCATCACTATGTAAAACGATAAGTAACTAAACATTTATGAAGCGATGTACTAAACATATCATATTATATAAACATATCTTGCCATGCCAATTGTTATTTACCAATTACTAATATTTATTTCAGTAAAGTGTATTATTATTTTTTACTTACACTAATTATTAAAAATCCATGCAGACAGAATAATATACCAAATATAAATAACAGACCGAGCAGTATTAAATTAAACGTGTTATCAATGACTTTTATAGATCTGCAAATTTGGTATATATAAAATGACGAGTGATATGAATTATACATAAACTATAAATGTCACATCTTCAGGACAATTATAAAAAAATCTAAAGATTATTTTCGCTAAAATAAATGTATGCACACGTGTGTATGTATGTATGTGTTTCTGTATGTTAAGATTTTTTAACAAAGTTCTTTAATGGAATGATTAAGTTCGATTATATGAACATAATTTATGAATATTTTTGTAAGAACCTGATCAATCGGATGTGGTCATTTACAGTAAACTTTAAAACTGTTTTAAAATTCTCATCATTCTTCAGATTCAACAATCTCAGGTGTAGATTTTCCATCTGGCCGCATATATGAAGAATCAGTAATCCAAGGAAATTATCGACGCCAGTATAAAAGAGACCAGATATAATTAGTGAGATTACTTGTCCCAGATATGTTAGTTCATATTTTGGACTGCTGGATATATCGTAGAAATAGTAACTTTGGAGTGCCAAAGGTTTTCCAGGATCGGTGAGATTCGTCACTTCTCTAAGTGAAAATCCAAAAGGTATAGAACCGACAGCGATCAAAAATGTAAGAAATACTATGGATAGTCCACACATGGCAAGCAAGCGAGTAATCCTAGCTTGTTTTATCATGACATTTCGCTCTTCTTTTATTTTTACTTTTGTCCAGTCTTTCACAATCATTTTGATCAATGGCGATAAGGCTACGAAAGAAAATAAAGCGTTTATTATATATATGAATATATAAATATATATATATATATATATATATGTGTGTGTGTGTGTGTGTGTGTGTGTGAAATTATTATTTTCTTATAATATTTTTAATATTGCTTTCTTAATTTAATTGGTAATTAATTAAGTGATGCAATTATTGGAGTTATAAGATTCAATATTTGAAAAAAGTTTCAAAAAAGTAAAAATTAATTTTAAAGGCTTAAAGATTGAATAATACCTTTTTTTTATACCACATAATGAAGATTTTCAATGTTACTATCAAAAGTGGCAAAGTATATTGTAAATTATCTATCATTAGTATCATGTCGCCCCATACTCTTATCAGCGCCACTAAAGCCGGTATTAATATAAAAAGTAGCATAATGATACTGAATAACAATCGAAGTTTGGACAATAACTCTTCATGTTGATTTTTACTCTCTTGCGGCCACAATCCGACAATTTTCAGCATAAAGCGATTCAGACCAATTGCCCATTCTATATCTGAGATTAATTCATTAAATGTACCTTAAAATTTTTTATTTGGATATTATTTTACATTGTAAAACTTAACTATTTTTTAAATTTTGATTATGTAACGATATTATCAGAATATTTTATATAAATAAACATTATTGTACGCTATATAATTTAAATCATTTCCACTTATCTTTTTATAATTTTATACATTAAAATATTAAAAAAACTTTATAAAGATTAAAAAAAGCATATATACATGATATGTATAATACATATTATATTACATATATACATATGTATATATATATATATATATATATATATATATGTGTAATAAAAAAAGTCATTTTTTTTAATGTTAAATGTATAAGATTGTAAAAGATCACACGCATATTTTATATCACTTTCATGTGAAAGAAGTCATCACGCACTTTTAATTATCTATTAAAAAAGAATAACAAGATGAAAATATTACAATGCAGACCACAATAAAATACTTTATATGCAGAAACAATGTATTTATTTTACAACTATTGTGATACAGATGCAGCAAATTTAAAAATAAAGTGCGTGACGTTTTTCATTTGTAACGTGTTAATAAATTTTTAAAACAATCTCTTTACTAAGTACTACTTTGATAAAGTATTATTTTATCTTAGATCTATTTTTGGCTAAAATTAGTAATTGATAAGATAAAAGAACACCATTATTTTCAGTCGAACTGTCCATAGCATTCACCAGAGGATTACTGATCTTCCCTGCTAAGTGGTATCCACCATTTTGTTAACATTATGTCGCGCATGTCTTCAAGCTAATTTTTGAAACGCGAGAGTACGTTGCTTCCTCATAAATATGGCAACAACGAGAAAGAACATATGTTCTTAACGTTCGCGAAAGGGTTTAATGAATAAATTATAATACGGAGTATCCGAAGATGAACATTTGAAGTTTACCAAGTGAATTGTACTTTTTTGTATTGGTTCATATTTTTTTTTCTTTTGTTACCAAAGACTTTGCTATTCAAAAATTACAATTGCACAAAAAAATTTCTTATACTCATAATAATGAAACAAGGAACGAGTTCTGGTTGTTGAAAATTTAAAAAAAGCATGGAAAACGGCGCAGCTTGTCGACATTTTTTGCATTGCTGAAAAGTTACTTTGATGAAAAGAAAAAAGAATTGCCAGTTGTTGGACGTTTCAATGATGCATTATTAATGAATCTGCAGGATCGTTTCGGATCAGATAGTCATGGCATAGTCACATAATAAGAACGACAGGAAGAAATAAAAGTGATAGTAACAATTTATTAATCGTGTTAATTCCAAATGCTAAAAGTGCTAAA